CGAGAAGAAGTTTTAGACACTTAGCACACCATACTTTTCATTTCTACATCGATATAAGCTCATGATATCAGTGATATATTATACAATTATTGACTAGTTAGCCATTGCATATGATATGATAATCGCCGGTTAATGTCATATTGACTGAGGCGATACACACAAAAGTAAATCCTTATTTACAATGTTCTTATCATCGCGGTGTAACTTTTGCCTGTTATTACCTATTAATGTTGAGTAAATAGTTTTTGAATCGAAAAATATGCCATTAAGAACAAAATGCAACAATTTCCAATCATCTATGCTGTATTGTCATTGATTGAGTCTGATTTCATTTTAGATAAGGAAAATTCAGCTAGTGAATAGGATACTACACCTAGTCATAGCTGCGCATGCCTAAATAATATTCGATTTACGCACTCGAAGTTAATTGGTTATTGAATATGAGTCTAATTCTATTTTTATATTGTGAAAATCCATTTCAGCTAGTGAATATAATACTACACCGAGTGATTATGATTTTATTAGTTCTTCTGTTGACTACTATACAAAATATGATAAACAAGATCAACAAGGAAAGGCGGCGTTCAATGAACGCAACCCCCATATGACCCAGCAACAAGTTAACCTATTTAGATTTATAGATAAATTATTATCAAAACAAAATAATGCTCTGAAAACAAAATGTCACTCAATATTGTATTGCTGTTACTATTGTTCCTAGTATTTTAGTACTATTGTTTCACATTCAATTCCGAATATGGAATGCTGATTGTTGATTCAACAAATACATGTATGCTCATTAAACCAAATCTCCCATTGTCAATCCATGACTTGTTTCTTAACTATCAAATGAGATGACTATTTTAGAGTAAAATAAAATCTCTCTCAGAGAAAAACTTTATCTTGTTTATCATATTTTACATATCAAAAATCAATAATCTTAATTTGTGTGAGTATACTCAGGTACGTATCCATTTATGCTTGAATTTATAAATGCAGTGCCACCTGAGATGAACTTCCATATGTAGAGCCAGAAATTCGGCATATGATATTTTAGCCCTTTAGCTCATATAGACGTGTTTTGACGGCTTTCCCTTTTTTGAGGCCTCAAACAGTAAAAAATGCCATATTTAGGCCCCAAAAACTGTTCTTAGTTTGAGAAATAGTGATAAAATGGTGTTCACTTTTTCGGCGCCGCCCCTATCAAAAAGGTATATAAAGGGGTTGCCAGAATGGGGATGTGCCCCGTTCTGTTTCGGGGGTTTGCAGGGGCCGCAAGAAAATTTTGGACATGTGACAGGCTACAAATGGCCTCAGGTTGATTGTAAGGTAACGTGTAACCAACGCTGAGAAGCCTTTTTACTCTATCTCAATCCACTGAGAAGTTGCAGCACTTTGAAATCAGTTTTGATGGAAAAAAAACAATGCAAAATAGTGATTTTTGACAATTTTGAGACGCCCCCTGTTGCCATGGTAACAGGAATTTAAGATTAAGCATGCTGTTGCAGGGACCATGGTCCAGTCTTTGTGCCAAGTTTCATGCGTATTGAAAGATTTTCATAGTTTCATAGCCGTTTGAGGCTTTTTCAATGAAAACACATTCGGTGGCAGTCTTGACAAAAAGTATTTCATGCGAAATAACAATCTTCTTAATAAATCTTTTCAGCAGTTATTAAACTTGTATAGTCAAGTCTTATCAGTGTACACACCTTTATAATATTATTATATCTACCGAACCTTTTAATTTTAGATGTTTTGTAGCTAGCTTTGGCTTTCCTCGCGTTATTCTGAACGTATAATTTCTTCTAAAAGGAGCTTATACTTTGTCATTATAAGCAATTATTATTTTCATTTAATTTTATTGATGAAAAGTTAGAATATTTAATGGATATTTGTGAATTTACTATCAAGAAATAGGAAATAAAAATACTTCAGAAACAACAGTATGTGTCAACGAGAATTTCAGAATTTGGCAATCTGATTGCTAAACATTAGTTGAGTTTGTACCGATGTAACTTGCTGAATCTCCCAGGTTTAACATTTCAGGTTGTCAATTATCAGTTTTATGGATATGACGCTTTTGCAGATGTGCAGGCTGGCCAGGCTATATACTTGTGGAAAAGTCTAATTATTGGTTCGAGCAGTTTAAGGGTAAAATATCAGGTGTCATGCTAAGCTTTATCATCTGAAAGATCTTTTGTAGCTTTTGATCTTCTAGCAGTTCATACACTTAGAAACTTAGAAAAAACTTTGATAAATTACCACAGGTGTAGATATTACGTAAAGATGGTTTTTACAATTATCATTTAATTTAATGAAATATAATATCATTCAGGTCTACACTGATTTTACTTTAAGGTCGGTTGAGCAATGGTCGGTCATTAATTTTACTAAAGAATTTAATTATAATATATTTTCTCATTTTTTATCGTCTAAGTATCAATTTAATCTTTTGTCTAGCACTGTATAGCTTCTAAAGGCTTTGCCCATTGTGAAGTAATAAGTAATGACATTAAACCAGTAATAACATTATGGCGCTGTCTTTTATTAACTTCTGAGATTTACTCCATACAGACAATGTCAATGTATCCTGACATATATCAAATCAAATAAGAAACTTTTGTTGACTTGACTGGTAACTTATAAAGGTCATTGAGAGTTATAAACATTCATAGCATTTCCAATACGTTTATAGTATAATTGTAACAAGAAAATTGTGAAGTTGAAGTTTTTGTATATTTTGATTAAATGAAATGATGATTACTAAATACGATTCACAAAAATGTAGATTTAAAGATTTTATATAATTGCTTAAATGTATTATTACTGTGTAAAAAAAGAAAACATGAAACCTAAAAAACATAATATGGCAAAATGTTTTTGGTTTCATTTTCCACACATTCCCCTTACGGCATTGAAAAAAAACGCAATCTACTGTCCATGCTCACTGGCTCCGTTGTAAAGCAGATGTTAAACATTTATAATTAGAAGAGGTTCCGTTTATGTGCTCATTCGATGATGATCATGGAACACTTTCTGTGAAAGGTAAATATGGCGTTAACTAGAAAAATAAAAACGGAAAAAAATTTAAATTTTGAATTGAGATTATAGCGTATGTTAAATAGAGAAAACAGATTCCATAAGAATGCCTAAAACGGCAAAATTAAAAATGTTGCAGGCTCGGTTTGATTGAGTCCGTCCATGGACGTAATCTTTTAGTACAAGCTACCGTTTATGTCCAATAGCACCGGCTTAAGCATAGTTCATCATAGATAAATTCTGAATTTCGATGAAAATAATTCTCATTGAATCGTGTTATTCCTTTTAGGCATTTTGTTGCAAAAATTTTAATATGTACCATACGTGAAAAAATAAAACTTTTTGTAATATTCTATTGTAAAGAATGTGTTGTATATTTAAAGTGAATACAAATTGTATACAGACAATAGGTAAGCCGATTTTCCTTGCAATCAGCAACACTATTCATTCATTGCAGTTAAATTAACCGAACGTGTGACATTGACCAGTTACACATGCACTTTGAATCGTGAACATAATCGCTTTTGAAATCAAAACATTTTTTTCTTAAGGATTATCATGCCAGAAAAAGCAACCGTATATTAGGAAATTTCAATCATACTGTTGTGTAAAATTTGACAAATCTGGCACATAACACACTGTTAATGCACTGCGAAAAATATACTGATATACGGGAATATACGGTCCCGTATTTTTTGACAAATACGGGCGTGTACGGGATGTATTTGTCGAATATACGGACCAAGTATACGAGTCCGTATAGGGAACACCGGGTATACGGGAAGTCCGTATATGCATCAGGCATATACGGAATTCCGTATTTGTCCCATATACATGTACGTATATTTGTTTGTACTTTTGAAGTTTACGGAGAATAAAATCCCGTATACGGAATTTATCAAGGTTGTTATCCCTAGTATACAATAAATATACCAGGGATATACGGGACCGTATTTTCTACATATACAGAGGATATACGGACTCGTATTTTTTACGTATACAGAGGATATACGGAACCGTATATTCTACATATACAGAGGATATACGGAATTGTATTTTCCACATATACAGATGATATACGGAATCGTATATTCTGCATATACAGAAGATATACTGAATCGTATTTTCTACATATACAGGGAATAAACGGAATCGTATTTTCTACATTTACAGAAGATATACGGAATCGTATTTTCTACATATACAGGGAATATACGGAATCGTATTTTCAATATATACTTGGGATATACGGAATTGCATTTTTTTAGTTTTACACAGGGTATACAGAACTGTATTTTCGAGATAAAAGAAGGTACAGATAATATCAAAAGCATGCATTTACATATAAGTGACACCTACACATGACAGAAATGCAGGCTTGTACAATAGAACATGTTTGATTACACATTGTGAATGGGAACTGTAAAGTCATATGCTTAAGAACTTTATCTTCACAATTGGAGTATTTCAAATAATAAAGTAAAAACCAAATCGAGTCACTCTTAAATATTTATTATTTCATAAACATATATTCAATATGTATACATATATTAAACAAAATAAACATGTCTTCGCTTCAACACTCATATATTGTTGTAAGCCTTATTCTAGAGGGACACATTAATGTAGCGTTGCAACGGAATGGCGATATACCGGTATGTTGCGATACAGAGTCATGTAATACGTATCACAGTGCAGAACATCCTCACCGCGATATTTTCTTCAAAGATCGAATTATACATGTACATGTTTCGATATTTTCAAGCCGTAACCTTTATGAATTGCATGTTGTTTAAATCTAGAACAAACTATACCAACTTGAAGTTCCTTTCTATTTATCTTAACAATGATTTTTATGAGCCACTTATATTACACCCATAAAACATTTTAAAGATATTAATATCATTTTTTTCGTGTTAACATTCACATATTATTTTAGGAAAATGAGTCCATAGCACAAATTGATTATAACAGAAAGTTTTAATAATAACCATTAAAACTAAAAATCCGTATTCACAGAAATTCGACATTCAAACACTGTTCTTAAAAGCACTTAAATATATCAATCATCTATAATAGGAATGTTACGTAGACCAGTGTAACGGTGTCTATTTCTTGACGAAGGAAATGTTTTCTCCAGATATTACAATCTTCTTCGGCATGTGTGTATCTGAAAATAGAGAGTTTAAAATCCTGTTTAAACAGTGTCATGAAATAGTTATCACAACTTTCAAAAAGACTATACACAAGCATTTTATTTAAGCGTATACATATATACATTTTTTTTTCTTACGCAAATTTCAAAATTATTTTATATTATTAGGATAAAGATGTCATTTATAAGCAACAATTTACACAGGATTTAAATGAAATGATTAATCTATGACGGATGATAAGTTATATTTTTTGTTATAAAACCTTTTCGAATATATATATTTCACACATGTAATATAATGGTATCTTTGTTCTATGTAAAGAGTATTTTATTGATTAAAAATATATTAGTACAAAATAACATTGTATTGGGGTAATCTTTTTGATCGTTTTATAATGTATATAAGCATCGTTAGGAGGAATCAATTCGTTCTGAAAAGAAAGGTTTAAAATGTACAGATATGCGAAAGTACAACTTTATTTGCTACTCAGATGTAGATCCGTGTTCAAGTTAAGTAAAATGCGGAATACCCAGTTATACCTTTCATTAATATAAAAACGTAAATCTTAACAAATTTGGATTATTGTTTGTTTCAGTTTCAATTATTTCAAAAACTATTTCATCACAACTTCACAGCAACGAATGAATACATTCAATATACAATAGTGTAGATTAATATGTTTTATTGTTAAGACTGTTTAACTAGGTTAGTTGACAATAGAATCTCTTACAGTGTGCCATCACTAAAAATATAGAGGATATTTGTTTGTTTGTGTGTAAGATGAAATTTTATTTCATCGAGTGGGCTTTAAAAACAGTATTCTCACGAGTGGCGTAGCCACGAGTAAGAATACTGTTTTTAAAGTTCATGAGATGAAATAAAATCACATCTTACACAACAAACAAAGAAATTTTCTTTTTATTTAATGCTTAAAAACAGGTTAAAACGAAATTTCCTTAATATTTACGTTAATATTAAAATCTGTTTTCCCCATTGAGAGCCTCAAAAAAGTCGAATTTCTCATTAAATACAAGAAGTCATGGGCTGAAAAATAAGTTGAACAATCAATGTTAAAAGGTAGTGATAGTATTCATTTTATTAAAAAAAAATATGTCTGATCGCTTGTTTTAATAATAAAAACAAACAATTTTAGTAGGAGAAAAAGTCCAACCATCCATCAATATTTCTGTTACTGACTGCGAATTTATATTAGACCTGGCTTTGTTAAATGTAAACGGCCGCCATTTTTAAAGTTGTGTATTTCACTGGAGGAAAATAATTGTGTTTGATTCAGAGGGATATCATTTGTATTTGTTAGTCATATACCTTTTTAAAAGAAAGAAAACTTATTTGAGGATTGTAACAGACAATAAATAAGTGTTGACAGATGTGTAAACATTAATAAAAGTGGATAGGAAATTGGAAAACTTGGAAGCCTTACGAACGCTGGGTTGTTTACATATTCTTCGAGTGAAAGCTGCCATTGCTTTTCAAGTTTTCATAAAGCATACGGCAGTTATTGCTCGTAGGATACTTATATATTCCGATATGTCATCAAGAGCAGTTTTGCATGTTGAAGGAATGTATTTTTCAGACTGTAAAAATGAAACAAAAAATTAAAGAGACGATATTTGGTGATTGGTAATTTGAATGAATAGAAGTGACATACTGTTAGTTTTCTTCTTTTTATTATTTTTGATATGTAAGTTATTTATCAATTTCAGCTTTGCTTTTCTTTAAGCAGCCTGACTTGTCGGAATAGTCAGCAAAAATAAAATTAAGGTACCACATGGGGAAAATCTTAAAAAAGTAGTTTCGTCATTGAAAAGTGTGAAATTATAGTTTGATAATTTTTACTGTGAAATTATCAAATATAATGTTCACGGATAAATCAGTAATCCACTGAAAAGCATAAAATAAAAAGTGATAATTCTCACAAAAATAATCAAAATATCCTCCCCCCCCCCCCCTTGCCTGTAGCATTAATCTGATAGTATGAAATCAAATTCAGATAATAAAATATACGTATCATATGTGACAATCGAATAAAATAACATACTAGGAAATATTTTGATTAATACATGCGAATGCGACAGTATTACGTGCGCACGTGAAACATTTACGTATCAACGCAATATGTTTCACGTGCGCACAAATACTGTGCGTTTAGTATAATAATTAAGTGACGAGGTGGTCAAGTCCACTATCCAGGTGTAAAACAGCTATCATATTGTGTTTATTATATTCAAACAGGCTAGCTATATTAATCAAATTATCAACAAATTTACCAACTCTCAGCGTAATGCAGGTAAGGTTGTGGTAAATATCAATACAAGACAGCTAGATTCGGATTGCACATTTTCCCCAAAAATATTGCTTTATAATTATCAATCAAGTAAGAAAATTTTGTATTATTTATTGTAAAGATTATAAATACTGTGCTATTTTCTATTAACTTCTCATTTTGTTTTAAATGTAGCTATATTTAGCCCTATTTAATAATTTGGTGCAAACTTATACGGAATGCATGATACTGTGCACAGACTGTTTCAACTATAGTTTAAGTTTGCACGAAAAACTCTTGCACTGCAAAAGTACTATGACTACTTCATACTACACAGTTTGAAATTTCGCTGTTTCACTCCGTAGCGAGAATTAATCTCAATCTTTGTTTTTTATTTTTTTCTATTGTCTTGATATTAAATTTATGTATGCATGCGTAAATTATTACATGTTATATTCATAATTGAACGATCAGTATTAACGCATTTAACTTTCAATAAGCTAACATTCTATGCGGCCTGCATATTTTTATCCCCCATTTACGTCACATCCGGTAAGGGAAGAAACTCTTCCCTGACTGTTATCGCTTAAATGAAAGGGTCTATACAGGGTAAAAATCACTATCATCTGTACATGTATATCTAAATTAATAATTAAATACCATAACAAAACTGCCTTTATATCCCAATTCATTTTTCTTATGTAAAAATAATAAAAAATATATGGAAAGAAAACCGCAAAAAAGTGAGCTCGAACTTGTGATAAAATTTAATGTTACTAACTTTGCCATCAAGACATTTCAAATTCTGTTTCTAATCTTACATTATATTCGCTTCTGAAAACCCTGTTTTACATATTCAGACAAAGGTTGTTAACTTTAGTGTACATGTACAAAAGAAAATGTAACGTCACTCTCACATTATCAAAGCGGCGTACTTATCGCTTCCGCACGTAGTAAATAAAAAAAGTACTATCATTAACATATATGAGCCGCGTCACGACAAAACCAACATAATGGGTTTGCGACCAACATGGATACAGACCAGCCTGCGCATCCGCGCAGTCTGATCAGGATCCATGCTGTTCGCTTACAGACCCTATAACAAGTAAATAAACTGATAGCGAACAGCATGGATCCTGACCAGACTGCGCGGATGCGCAGGCTGGTCTGGATCAAAACCCATTATGTTGGTTTTGTATTGACGCGGCTCATATAAAAGTGATTAAACTGTAAAGAAATACATATCTTTTTGATACAGTAATATGTTTTAGAAAAGAAAACTAATTCAATAAAATAAAATGGCATGCACAGTGCATCTATATCAAACCATTGTGTGCGTTGGAATTGTTTCTTATATTTTATATACTTGATTTTTGCATATTAAAAGCATGGATGTTTTAGCATTTTTAAATGCGCAGCAAAATGCTTAAATGCCTTAATTGACGTCATTGATGAAGTGTGACATCATTCCACCTAAGAATTGATTCTAATAAGATATAAAAGAGAACCAATGTATTTATAATTAACCCCATTTATTCATGTCAAAATAAATACTTGTAATTAAGGAAATTTGACTTTGCCTTTGCCTGGAGAAAGAATAAAACACATGCTGTCAGTACGGATGGGAATATATGAGTCTGGGTAACTCTTCTTTACACACAGTACGGTACCTCCGTGTTATTGTCTTATCTTATTCACAAAGTACAACAATGAATATACGTGAACTTACATCTATATAACTTGCTACCATACTTTGCTTCATCTATAATTACTGTAAAGAGGGCACAGTTGCATTTCTGGAAGATTTAAACACGCTTTACACTGTCCTGAAAAAAATCATGATATTACTTATATATATAACAAATATAAAGAGCACATTGAAAATATTTCATAAGTGATCACATGTGCGAAAGTGGTAATACTGTAGAAACGTGTTCACTTTTTGTGCATGTGTAGTTATGTATTTTTGTGTGTTCGTGCGTGCGTGCGTGCTTGCGTGCGTTACAATATCGCTTTATGTGAAATATAAGTCAAAATATGGAGATGTACAACAAACGTTAATACAACTGTTTCTAGTTCCAACATACAGTCTCTCCTGCTAACAATATGTCAAAATTAGTTGGAGCGTAGTTGAATAAGAATTGGCCAATTTTCTAAATATAGAAAGAATCTACATCACTGATCATCAATAGGTCCTGTTTAACATTGAATTGGACGTGAAGAATCCTTAAAAATATCTTGTGGCACTTTCGGTATGTATTCAAACAATTTGAAGTGTTGTGTTGACAGTAATTGTTGGCTTTCATTTAATTGGTTATAACAAATTGGGATACAGACTGATTCATTCACTCGCAAACAATATAAGACGATTTTTGCTATTTCAAGAAATGGTATTTACAGAACCGTCTCTGCATCAATATACAAACGAAATAATTAAGGTCGAATGTTTAGAAAAAACAAAAACAAATTGCATCCGAAAATAATACGATTTAATGCAAAGACAACAAGACAAACCAAATTAGGATATATAATTACTTGCTTTGCTATTTCAAAGATATAGTTTATGCTCATTTTTATATTTAAAAACAACTATTAGTGATATATAGTTTATTTCAATATAAAATAAATACATTTTTGGGTAAATACAGAGAAGATATGTGACGTTTACACCGTAAAATTGAACATACGTAGTCTTGTTATAATTAAAAAATGACCAAATGAGCTTGACCATAAATATAGTCAATTCTGCTTCTCGAACTTAGTGTTGGCACTTTGTACAGCTGATTCTAGCGACATGCACTAGCTCGGAAGCAGCGTTAGAGCAATTAACCGTATACCTCCGAAAGAGGTAGCTCTTTCATTTACAAGGCGTGAATAAGAAGCTTAAGAAATAGTGTGTGGGTGTTGTTAAGAATGGACCTTAATGATTTGTCCTCGGAATTTGGTAATATATAGCATAAACTGTCAGTGTTCCCTGATGACATTCTCGTGAAAACGTTTTGATTGACATTAAAAGGTCGTTTCTTTTTCAGGCAACAGTTCTTAGTACAGAGAGCTACAAAAACATGATTAAAGACACATCAAACATTCGCAGTCAAACATTTACTGCGACTTGCCCTGGTTTTGAGGAGACAGTTTTAGTGGAACTTGTCTTTCTAAGTAGTCTAATTAAATAACGCTTGGCACGTTAATACATAAGCAATGGAACGTAAACTATAATGTAAAGCTCTCCTTAAAAATTCTTAGACAAATCATGTCCGGTTAACTGCATCGTCTCGCCTGATTTAGAAACAAATCGTGCTAGATAAATCAGAAATCAGAACTTGATGAACTTGATAGCTTTAGTATTTATTTGTTTATGTCCATATTGCTTCATTATATTTTTTTTTATTATAAACTATTTCGTATTAAACGTCCGCAAGTAATTTTTCTTTACTTTGTACATTTACAAACTGAAAACAGTATTTTAAGGTCACGGTTCCAACACTTTAAATATGCAATTCGGCATCTGTTAATACTCAGCAGTTATATAACTACAATTTATTTGATTTGACATGTTACTCTATAAGCAGGCTTATTTTGCATTATTCCGGACGTATTCTTTCTGCTTAAAGGGTACGAATAGTATACTTGTGTCATTATAAGCAATGATAAGTTTCATTCATTTGTTTATGAAAAAAGAGAAATATAATGGATATTTTGTAAATTTACAATTAAGAGAAAAGAAAAAAAGTAATATGTGCAATTGAGAATTTTACAATATGACAAACTGATTTCTTTTCGGCCGTATGCGAAACATTAGTTGGATATTTTTACCGATTTAACGCTTAACCTGCTTAATAAATTTAGTCTTCCAGCTTTCATTTTTGAGGTTGTCAATTATCAATTTTGGGAATATCAAGAATTTGAGGATGTGAAGGCTGGCCAGGCTGTATACTGGTCGCAAAGGTTTAACATATTTGGTCCAAGCAGATTAAGGGTTAGTGGTGAGGTGTCATGCAAAACTTTATCAACCAAAAATATGCCTTAAAGGTTTTTTTGTCTAAAAATTTACACATTTAGAAACTTTAGAAACTTTGATAAATGACTACAGATGTAGATGTTACGAAAAAGGTGGCTTTTACAATAAGTAATAATGATATTTCTTTCATGTCTATATTATTTTTTACTTTACTGTAGGCTGAAAGTTGTGCAATGGTCGATCATTCATCTTACTAAACATGTTGAATCATAATGGATTTTCTGTTATTTTTTCTCGTCTATGTATCATTTAATGTTTCGTCTAGCACTGTACAGCTTCTAAAAGCTTTGCACATTGTGAAGTAATAAGTAATGACATTAAACAAGTTATAACATTATGGCTGTCTTTTATTAACTTCTGAGATTTATTCCATACAGACAATGTCAATGTATTCTGACATTACATCAAATCAGATAACAAACATTCGTTGATAAAAGAGAAAGGTCATTGAAGAAGGCGACATTAATAGCCATAGTATTTAAAATATGCTTATAGTAGAAGTGTTACAAAGAATGTGAAGTTGAAGTTTATGTATTATTTGATTTAATGAAACGATGATGAATTATTCAATACGATTCACAAATTTGTAGATTTAATGTTTTTATATTAATGCCATAGTATTTAAAATATGCTTATAGTAGAAGTGTTACAAAGAATGTGAAGTTGAAGTTTATGTATTATTTGATTTAATGAAACGATGATGAATTATTCAATACGATTCACAAATTTGTAGATTTAATGTTTTTATATTAATGCTTAAATGTATGAAATGTATGTACACGTATATAATACAAATATGTTCTTTATTATTTACGTCCATGATAATATACAAGTTATTATTAATGTGTACAATAGAAAACTTTGAAACCTAAAAAACACAATATGGCAAAATGGGGAAACGGACAAAAGCCCACTTGTCCAAAATTGACAAGGCGGACAAAAGCCCTCCCGTGAAAAAACACAAGGCGGACAAAAGTCCTCCCGTGAAAATGACTTGGGGGACAAAAGTTATAACATTATGGCTGTCTTTTATTAACTTCTGAGATTTATTCCATACAGACAATGTCAATGTATTCTGACATTACATCAAATCAGATAACAAACATTCGTTGATAAAAGAGAAAGGTCATTGAAGAAGGCGACATTAATAGCCATAGTATTTAAAATATGCTTATAGTAGAAGTGTTACAAAGAATGTGAAGTTGAAGTTTATGTATTATTTGATTTAATGAAACGATGATGAATTATTCAATACGATTCACAAATTTGTAGATTTAATGTTTTTATATTAATGCTTAAATGTATGAAATGTATGTACATGTATATAATACAAATATTTTCTTTATTATTTACGTCCATGATAATATACAAGTTATTATTAATGTGTACAATAGAAAACTTTGAAACCTAAAAAACACAATATGGCAAAATGGGGAAACGGACAAAAGCCCACTTGTCCAAAATTGACAAGGCGGACAAAAGCCCTCCCGTGAAAAAACACAAGGCGGACAAAAGTCCTCCCGTGAAAATGACTTGGGGGACAAACGCCCTCACTTGAAATTAACTAGGGGAACAAAAAATATGATAAACAAGATCAACAAGGAAAGGCGGCGTTCAATGAACGCAACCCCCATGTGACCCAGCAACAAGAATCAATGGCAAGGAGCCCAGGCGGACCCCAAACAAAAACAGGACAGGGCAAAGACAGAGCACGGAAAGGTTAATTATTAAATGATAAATAATTTGTAACTGATTAGGAATTCAAAGAAAATAATAATAGGCCCACAAAGGGGAAGGGGACATGAGACCGGGGGAAGGGGGGGGGGGTTAATCAAAGAAAAAAAAACTAGAGGCAATGGGGAAGATACTTACCGTAGACGAAAAAACAACAAGGGACACAAGCAAAAGTGTCACCAAAACAGTATGAAACAACATAGACATACATCTGAGGAACACAGTGGGGCGCCGCCTTGGAACGGTCAGCAGCATAATAATGACTGCTGGGAAACAAACCTTTCCGTAACAAAATGTATAATGCATGCTAAATATTTGTGTTTTTTCCAATGCACTCAACATATTAAAATTGCAAATTACCATGCTCATACAAACACGCTTATGCCAATATTTAAACAAAAAAATTCATGAATTCAATTTCAATATCTTGAGTGCATTGAAAAGAAAATACAAACTATTCAACGTTCAAATATGTAATTGCTGTGGGATGGCTTTTGTCCGCCCTGTTATTTTCAAGGGAGGGCTTTTGTCCGCCCAGTTGTTTTCAAGGGAGGGCTTTTGTCCGTCTTATCATTTTTGGACGGGAGGGCTTTTGTCCTTGATTTCATTTTTGACATTCTCTAACGGCATTGGTATAAACGCAGTCTACTGTCCATGCCCCTAGCTCCGTTGTTAAACAGAATTTATTCATTTGTAATAGCAAAAGCTCCGTTGATGCGTTCATAAAATGATGTACATGGAATACTTTCCGACAAAAGCGGTGTATTATCCGAAACTTAAATAAGGCATAAATCCTTAACTATGAATTAAAAGACGGAACCATAATTAGAAGTTTTAATTGAGATAATATGCTTATTATGTAAAACAAAATAAAAACAGAATTCCTAAAGAACACCCCAAACGGCAAAATCTGAAATGTTGCAGGTTCGGTTTGATTGAGCCTGGTCGTGGACGGTAATTGTAATTGCAAGCTACCGTTTACGCCCTCTAGCACCGTCTTAAGCATAATTCAACATTTAAACATGAAAATAGTTAAATTCTGAATTTCGAAACGGCAAAAAATCTCATTTAATCATGTTATTAT